TGTTAGTCTTTTCATATGACACCTCTGTTATGTTGCAGGAATTGAGACATTTGAAGGAAAATATCTCCACAGCTGGGACTACAAAGGACCTGAAGACATGTACGGAAAAAGAGTGGTGGTAATCGGAATTGGAAACTCTGGAGGTGACATTGCTGTGGAGACCAGCAGAGTTGCAGAGCAGGTTGAAGAAAGCTTTTTCATTCTTCTTATCTTCTTTTGATTAGAGATAGAAAAAAAAAACTCCTTCATGAGTTTTGGTGAATTCTGTCTTTCCCATTCTCCAGGTGTACATGAGCACTCGTCGTGGTGCTTGGATCATCCGTCAAGTTTCCGACAATGGTCTGCCAGTTGACATGAAGTACAACACACGCTTTGTTCATATCCTGTTTCAGCTATTCCCAATCAACTTCTTCAATTGGTTTGGTGAGAAGAAACTCAATGCCATGTATGACCACACCATGTACGCCCTAAAACCCAAACACAGGTAGGTGGTGACACGCCCACATAGATTTTGACTCAGGCCAAGATAATGACATCAATCACAGTGAGTTAGTTCCCTATAATATACACCAATCAGGCATGACATTGTGACCACCTGCCCAATACTGTGTTGGCCCCCCTTTTGTTCCCAAAACAGCCCTTACCTTTTGAGGCGCTGACTCCACTAGACCCCTGAAGATGTACAGTGCTATCTAGCACGAAGATGTTAGCAACAAATCATTTGAGTCCTGTAAACTACAAGGTGGGATCTCTGTAGATCAGATTTGTTTGTCCCACACATCCCACAGGATTGAGATCTGGGGAACTTGGAGGCCAAGTCAACACCTCAAACTCATTGTGCTTCTCATATCATTCCTGGACCATTTTTGCTTTGTGGCAAGGCACATTATCCTGCTGAAATAGGCATCAGGGAACACAGTTTCCATGAAAACAATGGAAACTGCAACAATGTTTAGGTTGGTGGTACATGTCAAAGTAACTTCTCCATGGATGGCAGGACCCAAGGTTTCCGTTCAGAACAGTACCTACAGCATTCCTTGTTCCTATAGCGCCATTCTGTTTACAGATGTTCCTCAAGTTAAGCGATGCACACTTAGCCAGCCAGCAACGTGATGTAAAAGAAAACATTAACAATACTAATCCCTGCAGACTGGGAACACCCCACATGAGCTGTAATTTTGGAGGTGCTCTGGTCATCTGGTCATCACAAACTCTCTCAATCCCCTATGCTTGGCCAATTCTCTGTTTTTAACACATTGAATCTGAGGACAAAATCTTCACTTGCTCCCTTACAAAGAGATAACTGGTGTTACTGACTTCACCTGTCAGTTGTTGTAATGTTATGCCAGATTGGTGTATAACGCTGTGTTGTCAGATGAGGAATTCTGCTTCTCATTAAAATACTCTACTCTAGGCTCTTCAGTCAGATCCCAGTAATCAATGATGACTTACCAATGAAGATTCTGTCCGGAGCAGTCATCATCAAACCAAATGTGAAGGAAATCTGTGGGTGCACTGTGGTGTTTGATGATGGAAGTACTGTGGAACAGGTCAGAGAAGAGTTTTCTTCAACTTTCTCCAAGATCTTTGTTCAGTGAAGACTTAGTTTAATACCATATTTCTTTGTTGTCACAGGTGGACACTATTGTATTTGCCACAGGATACAACTATGATTTCCCCTACTTGCCAAAAAATACCATGTACAAGTCTGGGCACCGTGCAGGTCTGTACAAGCATGTTTTCCCCCCAACCCTAGAGCATCCTACTCTGGCTGTCGTGGGTTTCATTCATGCCCTTGGAGCCATCATGCCTCAGGCTGAAATGCAGGCCCGTTGGGTCACTCGTGTCTTCAAAGGTAAGGTAGTCTGTTATTACTAACAGTTAGCATGCCTAAGCACAAATTAGTTCATTTATATTTACAAATGACCTTTTTTGCCGTCTAGGACATAAAAAACTGCCGTCAAGCCAGTCCATGATCAAGGCTGTTGAAAAAGATACAAAAAATATTGAAAAAAGGTAACTATTTGTCTTATTAAATACTTCAACCTGTCTTTTACCATTGTCCTTTCTACTGTTATATGTCAGAAGATGCTCTAGCTATAGTGAGATTGGTTAGCAAGGTGCATAGAGAGGTTAGACAGGTGTATTGTCATAATACCTAAACATACAAATGCTCATTAGTCTGAACATGTAAAGAAATTAATACTCACATTCATTTTCTTTGTAAGCAAACTGTACACATACATAATTTTCATTATCCGTGTAATTGCATTTAAAAAGCAAACGGCACCATTTTTAAAAAATCCAGTTAGAAATCTGAATTTGAAGCCAGCTGCTTGCATAACCTGACAATTCTAGCATGTGATTTGTTTTCCTTTTTTCCTTTGAAAGTTCATACTGTAAAGATTGCAGCTGCGTCATACTACATTTTAATCTTACACATTTTATAGCCATTAAAAGGTATTTAATTTTAGACTTTTAATATTGCAATGATCAAGAACACTTAGCATTGGACTCTGGAAGCAATCATAATATCAAACCTAAGTATAAACAAGGAATGCTTTATTCTAGCATATCTATTCTGCGCTATACTCTTATATCTTATACTTCTATACCATGTTAGTGCCACTTTAGAATAATACTATTCTTTATATTATTCTCTCCACAGTTACATTGTTTCAAAGCTGACCCCACTGCAGGTGGACTTTGTTTCCTACATGGATGAAATAGCTGGAGAGATTGGTGTAAGGCCAAGCCTCCTCTGGCTCTTCTTCACAGACTACCCCTTGTTCAAGAGGGTTCTCTGGGGGCCCGTTACCGCCTACCAGTACCGGCTGATGGGACCAGGGAAATGGGAGGGAGCCCGCAGGGCAATCTTTACCCAGTTTGATCGCATGTTCCAGCCTCTAAAAACCAGAAAGGTTTGATGTTATACTTTTTCTTCTGCAGTCTTCTTTGTTACTGTTGTGCATGATTTTAACATGAAGTAAAAACCATCACCCCCCTCCCCCGCAGCTGGAACCAGAACAGCCCTCCACTGCTCGTCGACTGGTTAAAATGAGCTTGACTGTCATGGTTGGAGGAGCTGCTATCTACTACTTTCATACTCGCAACCCAGATGTCATCCCCACACTGCTGTCCAGCATGCGTCCACAAAGAGTCTGATCAAGCTTCAGGGTCCAACAATGAGCAGAGGACTCTGAAACACACCAAATCAAATAAAGAAAAACACAAATTCTACTATTTCTGTAGCTCTTTAAAATATTTAGTTCACTATACTCTTGTTTGGAATTATTGAGTGATTAAAAAGGTGTCTGCTGATTTGTGTATTATTCTATTTTTCATATGTGTGGTTATTTTAATGCATAGATTTAAAGCAACATTTTTTTTCTTTAAAAAACCCAGAAACATTTAGTTATAACACATTTATAGTGCATCCCTTGCAGTACAGGAACTTAGGCTGACAGTGGATAGAAGTGAATAAGATGCACACCAATGCAGATGACAGATTGTTTAAAATTATATTATTATTCTTTATTCTTTCTTTTATTGACAGATTTTCTGGATAGTTGAATCCAAAATACCAGTTAGACCAGACAGTGACTGATCCTGTAAAGGAAAATGTTTCTTTAAAAAAACAAAAAGGGGGGGTATAAACACATTCAACCCCTTTTGGCGTCATTTGATATCTTTCCATGCATTTCAACACACTGAACCTTTTTAGGCAAACAAAACTGTACAGATGAAAATCAAGCAACTTATTCACACTCCCCAGCATGTTAGTACATACAGAAAAAAGCACACTGTATCTATTGAAATATTTTTTTTAGCCAAAAAACAATAATAAAAGCAGGTTTGCTTTGCATTTCAGTTTGTTATTACACTCCTGACTAAACCTGAAAACCATAAAGAAAAGATTTTAACATGAAGAACACAGAAGTGTGTTCCAGACTCTCCCAGAATTCAAAGCTTTTATTGCTTAAGATTAATTATTGTTTCATTTATTTATACGTATAATATTGGTGTCTCCGTTAACAACTACAATCTAACAAGTGAACCTTGTTTTGTTGTTTTGCATTATGCTTAACTTAATCTGAACATTAGATTTCGTTTCACTGCCAGAGTGGAAATTTCCATCAGGCTGGGCAAAGTCTGTCTCTCTCTGTCAGTGTTACTTTTCTGTCCTTTTCCCCTCTGTATTATCTCTCCACTACCTTGTATGCTCTCTTTGATTTTCTGATATGCGGCTTATTCTTTTTTGTTCGTCACTATTCTGCAACTCAAATGTACATTTTTTTTGGTTGTTGTTTTTTTTTTACACCCAACTCAGAGAAGCAACAAAGTGGGCACTGGGGGCATTTTTTGAACTCATGAACCTCTTGACCCCAATTTTAACTGATTTATGGCTTCTAGTAGCCATTCATAATTACACAATGAGTTGCAAGCCATCTGTGATCTATGTCCAGGCTGGGCACACAGTCAGGGAGGCAGCTGGCTATCAATCATTTACCTATTTTGCGGCATGCGCAAACGTTCACGCACTACAAAGAGCATCCCTTACAGTTGTTTATTAGCCTCTGCTCAAACACACCACCTACTGTAAAGCAAAGAATATTTGTTTTACAACTAGATCCAGTTTTTGTTACCTTTTTATAAAAGTCATCTAACAACATGCTAAATTAACAGTCCGATTAACTTTACTTCCCTAATGAGCTTATGCCTGTCCACAGCTACAAAGGATTCTAGGTTGGCTGCCAATTACACCCATGAGGTGAGAACTGCTTGATTAAATCATCCGAGCTAAGACCGCCCCCATTTACAGTACATGCTACAGGAATATATTATTACTGTTTTTCTGTATGTTTCTTTGAAAGAAAAAACAACTTAAATTCTTTTTTTTTCTTCAATATTCAAATAAAATGCATCTATTTACATGACGCGTACCACGTCCTTTCTAATCGATCTTAGAAGTACATTTGGTCTTTTCATCCCTATGTTGGGGAGGGGGAAGCCTGTCATTGGTCGCTGTCTCAGTAGGGCTATAAAAGTCGGTGCTCTGATGATTGTCTTTCCTCTTTCCAGACACAGAGCTAACAAACATACTAGGATCAAGGTAAGAAAGAAACCTGGCATCCTTCAGTTTTGTTTCCCTACACACTCTGACACACATGCACACACATTTTTTGGGATAGCACAAGTAAATTGATCATTTCTAATCCCTGAATTTTCTGCATTTTTAGGGACTGATTTCCACATGTTCACATAAAAAATAATTGCATGACAGTCGAGGCTGAAAAATTATACAAAATGACTACCCAAAGAAGAATATTTGCATTTTCATTCTTGCGTTGCTGTGCTGTGCACGGTTGCGATAAAGAAATAATCTGTAAAAAGCATAACTGCAGAGATGAAAGTGAAAAGTACAGAATAGGTTTGACATCCAAAGCAAGCTTGTAAAAGCAAAGTATCAACAGGCTGCAAAAATATGACTGCAGAGCAAATTAGCTGAGCAAACTACACACAAAGGGTCATTCCAAAGTTTCAGTGCTATTACAGCAAAATCACCTTTGGCCTTCATTCAAGTTCTAGGAACTGAGTTTTATGACAGAAGTGGGGACTAAGGGTTGCTGTGCTGTGCAGTATCCTGGAAATCCAGAAATATAAATGAAGCTAAACCCATTAGTGCTTACTGTGTAATCAGCAAAATGCTGGGAACAGTTTGTTCTGCTATTTGTACTGTAAAGCACCTAAATGACACATGAAGTTTGTTTTTTTTAACTAAATAATGATTTATTTGTATTCCACTTGGAGCTAACCCCCATTTTCCACTCAATAGCAGTATGCTCACTCTCAACTAGTGGCAAAACTATTGTATTTCTAAATAAAACATTATAGAGCAGTGTCTCATGACCACCATATTTACATGTCATAGTGTAGCATGTGACAAATGTAAACAGCTAACACTGTGCACTTCTTAAAGCATGGAAACAATCAAGGGGGATTCACTTCTTCTTATCTTTTTGGCAAAACATTGCAGTAGTGAGTTGCTGCATGTTAGATATATCAGTCTGAAAAAGTGTGATTCTTTCAACAGATAATTTTACTGTATAAGTAGAATGAACTCATTTTAGCTGATGGAGAAATGACTATTGTTATTTAGATTTTTATATAAATATATATGCTTCCTACCCTGATGGTGTAGCCAAAAACATGGAAAAGCTGAGGGAATTTAGATCAAAGACTATCTAGTTAAATGTTTCTGTGGCTCAATTGGCTTGTAGGTTTTGTAGGTAAGCTATTATTTAAGTCAATGGTGTCTGAGGTGGAATGAGATATTTTTAGATGTGTTAGGCTATTTACATGTTGATATTGGTTTTTAGCTACCCTAACTTTCACAGGAGGCCATTTACCCATTGCCAGGCCATTTACCCATTCATCTGCTGCTTATAGAGATTAGGGTTGCAGGGGCAGGAGTCTAAGTAGAGAAGCCACTTCCTCCAGTTTCCCCACGGGGTAACCGAGATATTCCCCGGCCAGCTGGGATATAAAATTTCTCCAGCATTTCCTGGTCTCCTCTTTTGGTCATTACACAGAGCTCATAGCCCTAAGTGAGGGTGAGCAGAGCTGTCAAAAGTACAGACATTCTGTGCTTAAGCAGAAGCGCAGATACTAGTGTTGTAAAGTACTCTAGTAAAAGCTGAAAAACAAATTCAAATTCTTTACTCAAGTAAAAGTGAAAAAGGACAGGTTATGAAATGTACTCAGAGTAACAAAGTAAAAAGTAGCTCTTTGGAGGAAGTTCCACCAGATATTTTTGTTCAAAGCTAATTGAACCTTGTGCTATATTCATGTAATAATAAAGTATTATCCGTAGGGGAATGCAATTTTTTTTATTTCAGTCCAAATATTAATTCTAATAAATGTATGCAATTTGAATCTGGTAAGTAGAGCATGAGCAGAGAAAAAAAGGAAGGGAGATTCAGCCTGTGGGGAAACCTAAAGTCAGTTTTGATAGCTTAGCATATTGCACCAGTCCAACACACTGTTCTTTACTTTGAATCTATCACAGTACATGAAAGTAACCTGTTTATCTCACATTAACCTGCGATGTGTTAAAGCTAAAGTAACAAGCCTATTTTGAAAATGTAAGGAGTAGAAAGCACAGCTATGTGTTTAAAATATTAAAAGTATAAGGAAAAGGTTTAAGGAAAAAAAATACTGAAGTAAAGTACAGATACCTGAAAATTCTACTTAAGCACAGTAGCAAAGTATTTGTACTTCATTACTTCCCACTTCTGAGGGTTGGAAGTAATGAAGATTCTGGATCGACCAGTAAATCAACACAAAAACACATTTAGACTTTGAGGACAAACTCTCACCAAACCCTACAATATCCTTGAGAGGATGAAGAGCTGCCCATGCATTCCATCATAACATAAAAACTGCAGTTCCTTTCCAAATTTGAGGTTGGATTAATCGCTCTTCTCTATTAACCTGTCATAGACCTTCCCAGGGTGATGTGATCCCCCTATAATTGAAGTATACCCTTGGGTGTCTTCTTAAAAATGGCAACCATGACCCCAGTCTGTGTTCCAGATGTCTGCACAATGTTGAACATGCATGTCAACTAAAACAGAATAAGTATTTCTTACATTGCGCAATTTTATTCTCTATTGAAGTCAGCAGCATTCTAGGCTACATGTAATCCCCTTCCTGAGCCACCTGACAGTTTGCCAGAATCCCACAATAATAAAATGATTAATAATAATAATAATAATAATAACAATAATAATAATAATAACTTAGATTTGTGTTGCGCCTTTCAAGAAACCCAAGGACGCTTTACACAAGAGTAGTGAGAGGTTAAAAAGGCTAGAGGCTTATCTTGAGAAGTTTCTTGAAGGACTCCAGTGACGGGACATTGCAAATCTCATATGGTAGAGAGTTTCAGAGTGTGGGGGCTGCCACACAGAAAGATATTGAGGCCCATGGATGAGGACTGTAGCATCCAAGACTGTGTGTATGGTTGCAGCAGCTCAGAGAGATACTGAGGTGCCAGGGCATTGAGGGATTTGTAAGTAAGAAGAAGGATCTTGTAAGTCATGCGTGACTTAATCCGGAGCCAGTGGAGATTTGTGAGGGTGGGGGTGATACGTCTGAGTTTTGGACATACTGGAGTCTACTCAGGGCTTTAGTGGAAATCCCAAACAGGACCCCGTTGCAGGTGTCATAGGCATGGATGAGGGTCTGTTACAGAGTCAGTGAGTGATGGCCAACGTCGAGAGATGTTCTTTAGGTGGAAAAATGCTGTTTTGGTGACAGATTTGACATGAGCACGGAATGAAAGAGTTGAGTCCAAAATGATACCCAGATTGCAGTAGGCAGCCCCCCAGAAGGGACCAAAGAAAACAGGAAAACAGGAAAGGAGGCACCGGCCTGAAACGCAAATTCAGGAATCTGAGGAAGACAGTGGAGATGAGTATGAGCTACATTAATAACCACTCCAAGCTTCCACCGTGTCAATGGAAAGAAACGGACTTCTTGGTGGATCAGAGATGGATATTATACATAACTGCACACCCGCAGGAGGAAAATTTGAAAAGCCAGTTTTTGTTGTTTTCGAGTTCAGTAAGCCTAGTGAAAATCCGGACATAAACCTACATGCTTAAAACTTGCCTGATGGGAACCTACCGCATGCATCCCTATCCTCAAATGCAGTGGCTGAACCTGAAAAGGCACCTGCCACAGAGAGCGAGAGAGGCACCCAGCAAGATGCATGACCTATGATAAGGGCAGCATTCCTTCCTTTTACAGTGTCCAGCCAGTATCCGTGTTGTTACCTGTGTGTCACGCTCCATTTCTCGTCCCATGGCTGCCACCCCTGCAGCCATACTTTCAGCCCTCCTTCATGTATGGACTCATACAAGTCTGCGTGCAGACTGTTGCCATGGATAATTCATAGACTGTTCACAAACACCATTGCCATGGGCACTGAAAATGCTGTCTGCATAGTTAATTGCTCTTAATAACTCGTGGACTTTCCAAAGAATACCCATAGACTGTTTATGTGGTACTCTGTTACCAATTATGGATTGTGGTCTGTGTCTTTAAACTGTGACCCCTGACCTTTGTTTGTGTGCAAGCTGGCAGAACAAGAGCTTCAGTGTCAAGTTCATGAGAGACTAGTAAAAAAAAAAGAGAGCGAGAGAAAGCAGAAACATTTGTGAGAAGATTTTGCAATCGTTTAATGTCGAGACAGCATCTATTTTGTTGGGGAGCGTGCAAGAAGTTAAAATAACAACAAATTTTAACACATTTTTTAATAAAAACAGTATTAATATTCTGTGATTTATCTAAGGAGGTTACACAGGTATAGGACATGTTTTATAAGATACGTTTGAGAATTTTTTTTAAAGTAAACTTTGTTTATTTCCTCCCTTACTGTTAAATATTAAGTTAATAAGTGTTATCTGTGATCTACGAAGTGGTCTGAATCGGGTCACTTGAGATTGATTGCTTTTGTCTCCACCCATTTAGCTGGGGGAAATCGAGGTATTATCCTCATTCGAGTAAAAGTTCTCAGTGAGGAAGCACCAGCTTGTCACTTTTGTGGTTATTTCTCCCCTGCAGGTATGCTTACAGTGTTGAGTGTTACTAAAATGAGTTATGGAGGGAAAGAAAGGTGCATGTTAATACTATTCCAAGTATGAAAAGACAATGTATATTAGTTAGAAAGTTTTGCAATGTGTGAGCAAACTCCCAACAATGGGTTAAATACAGCCTGTGATAGAGCTGTAATGTACGAATGTAAACCCATTAATCTAGTTCATTCTAAATTGTTTATATATTTGAGATATATAATTTGAGTAAAAGTTTTCAGTGAGGAAACACCTGCTTGTCACATTTGGGATCATTTCGCCCCTTCAGGGGTGTAACATGAGAGCCAAGCTTTTTACTCTCAGATTCCACAGAGGGTGGGTCAAGAGTGTCATGGGGGTTGGAATCTGGAAGAAGCTTTCTGCCTTTCTTGGCAAAGAATACAGAAAGAAGTGAGTTCTTGCCAGAAATGAGGCAACTGTTGTTAGCTGGCTCTATATAAATGAAATAAAATTGAAATGATTTGAACTGGAAGCTAATTGACAAAACAAGCAGAAGCTGGATTTAGTTTGGGAGGAAAAAGGAAGAAAAAAAAAAGAAGAAAACTAATTGTATCTGGAAACTGTGTGCGAGCGTGGGAACACAGAAAACAGAGATCTCAAGCGGACAGGTCCCAAGGATTTAGGATAGGGTAAGACAAACGGGACCTGTGGAGAGTGCCAAGCCAGACAGGAGTTTGGCAACATAGATAAATTCCTTGTGGAGACTGGTCATGTGGCCAGTGGTGGAGGCTGAGATGGTTGTATCATTTGCAGGGGTAGATGATTTATACATGAATGAGACACAAGTGAGAATAATCAAAAGGAATAATAAAAGGAGCAAGTAAAAGTAATGCAAGACAGGCAGGAAAACCAATTTTAAATACTCAGGAACTAACCAAAACACGGAGACTAGACTCTCACTGGACATGATTACAGGCAGGTAATCAGGCATTAACAGAAAGACAAGAGGGAGCTGAAATCACTACAAACAATAAAAATCAAGACATAAACCAGAACACACAATCTTAAAATCAGACTCATCACTTAAATATCCATCAAGGAAAACAGAATCAGATTCAATTATATCAAAAAAAATAACACAAAACTACTGGAAAAACTAGATGAATCAAAACAAGAATCCAGATTTCCAGTAAAAAAGAATCAAAACTACAGATACTAGGGAAAAAACACCCAAACCTCAAACACCCCAAAAAACCCAAGTGAAACATTGGGACGTTTGAATACTGCAAAGTCTGTTTGCCAAATTTCAGAGAGCTAAAGATAAAAAAGAACATAAGGTTGGTAATCTGCTTCTCAAGGGTTCAAATCTGCAGCATGTTTACTTACAAAAGAAAGAGAGAAGCCAAAGCATAGATACTGTGTCAAACCTATCAATGCCTCCAAACACAAAAATCGATTGGTCTGATAAGGAAATGCTGACATTTGTGTTTCAAAGCTGAAAAAAAAACCCGAAGCAAATACTTTATGAATATGTGCACAAGTGTTTGGAGTGCCTGTGTCTCACTCTTCATATGTTTAGATTTTCGCTTATCTTCAACATGAAAACAAACATGATGAAAAGACATTTTATGTGGTTTATAGACTGCCTCTACAAATTAGATCAATATTCAGATTGATTCTTGCCTGAACTTTTACGTAAGTGTTATTTTCATGTAAGATATATTTTAAGTGTACAAAGAGCAGGTAAGGTCAAACTACTGTTTTTGCTTTTCAAACTATTTTTTAAAGACACTTATTGAACTTATTGATCAAGAAGAACTCTCTCGTAATATCTTTCCTGACATTTATCCCCCTCGTTTTCAGGACCTATATTTTAAGTTATATTTTAATCAAGGTATTCCATTTACACGGCACACAGTTTTGCATTCTTCTTTACATTCCTAATGGTTCTAAATAGCGTCATAAAAGCAATGCAGAAAAGAGTATTAAGAGTATTTCTTAACTTATTGACTTGTTTTGGGACTTTTGAGCTGATCAATCATCAGCCTTTCATGTTTGCGTGTTTGTTAAAATCTGACTGAGTATTTAAACCCGAGGACAGGATCACTCATTTCATCTCTCTCTATACAGAAGAGGTAAGGCTGACACAGATGCTCGTGTTTATAGTAATATGACTTTTAAATGCAATCGGTTACAGACTGTAAGATATGCTCTAAGACGTACGACTTCATTATCTGTGTAATATATCTGTAACAGGAGTTATCTGTCTTTTGTAAAATTTTAAATGTGCAGAGTTACATGAATAATACGGCAAGTAAGTGTCCAACTGTATAAGCAATGCAATACATGTTGCAATGGAAACAACCAATAAGGTTTCACTTTTTCTTTACAAAAGCTTTCGGTATTGAGTTTCACTGCAATTTCACTGCAACTTTGTCTCTTCCTGTACGATATCGTACTATACGATGTCTTGTTTAACTTTAATTTTCCCTTTTTTCTCCTTTGATAAACAATTTTTTCCTGTTGCAGTTCCATCATGGTTCACAAAGTAGCAGTGATCGGGGCAGGACCCTGTGGTCTGACCAGCGTAAAGGCTTGTCTGGATGAGGGCATGGAGCCAACCTGCTTTGAAAGCAGTGATGACATGGGTGGACTGTGGAAATTCAAGGCAAGACTTTAGTCTAGAGAAAGATTCATTACTGACTGTGACTATTTTGACATTTGTATGTCTTTCTTATAAAATTTAATGTGCAATTTTAAACTATTATTTCTTAACATCTGTTGTCTGGAACGTCTTCTCTGCAGGAAGTGTCGGAACCAAACAGAGCTAGTATCTATCGTTCCCTTACTATCAATGTGTGGAAGGAGATGATGTGCTACAGTGACTACCCAATCCCTGCAGACTACCCCAACTACATGCACCACTCTAAAATCTTGAACTACTTCAGAATGTATGCAGACCACTTTAAACTACTGCAATACATTCGCTTCCAGGTAGCAAGATAGAAAGAAGAGCGATCAGTTTTATTATACCCTATATTAATATTTATATGTATAAACTGACATGCTATTATATTTATTGTATCTTAGACCAAAGTGAAGAGTGTGAAACAGAGACCGGACTTTTCTCGCACTGGTCAGTGGGATGTGGTGACTGAGACTAGAGATGGATATGAGGAGAACCACATTTTTGATGCCATTATCTGCTGCACTGGCCACTTCAACTATCCTAACCTGCCACTCAAAGACTTCCCAGGTGAGTAAATATCTGTACCACCACATGATAAATGTTAAAACATGACTGTATAAAAATTCCACTCTGTTGTCTGAAAGGAATTGAGACATTTGAAGGAAAATACTCCCATAGCTGGGACTACAAGGGGCCTGAAGACATGCATGGGAAGAGAGTTGTGGTCATCGGCATCGGCAACTCAGGGGGTGACATCGCGGTGGAAGGCAGCAGAGTTGCAGAGCAGGTTGGTAGTGCTCTCTAAGTGCTCAGCTTTCTTCCTAACATTTTAGTGTCCCTTTTTTTGTCTGATAGTGTGCCAATCTGGTTTGATGCATCTTTTGCATCCTCATTCCTCAAGCTTTACCTTCTGAAATAAAGAGCACAAGGATGCCCTTCATCCCGTGAGATAAGACAATTTCACGTTAGTGTTACTTCTTTCTTTCTGTGTCTTGTCTTACAGGTGTATCTGAGCACTCGTAGTGGTGCTTGGGTCATTCGTCAGGTTTCTGACAATGGTCTTCCAGTGGACAGGTTCAACACACGCTTTGTCCATATCATGTTCAGGCTGTTGCCAATGAGATTTCTCAACTGGCTTGGTGAGAAAAAGCTCAACTCCATGTATGATCACGCCATGTATGGCCTCAAACCCAAACACAGGTGAGATATGTAAATTCTTCCCTAACGCCACGGTTTCGCTGAATGCAATCTATCACATATAAGCTGATTGTCTCATCTTGTTTGCTAAACTGTTCACCATACCAAAATTGTCCATAAACTGTGTATCTGCTATGAAGTGAACACTATTTAAATCATAATTTGTCTATTAGTAGTTATCAGAATATATTATTATATATGAATTGTACATGTCTGTCTTTCCTCTGCTGCCCTCACCTCATCAGGCTCTTCAGCCAGATCCCAGTGATCAATGACGATCTGCCCTTCCGGATTTTGTCTGGGTCGGTCATCGTCAAACCAAACATAAAAGAGATCCGTGGTTCCACTGTGGTGTTTGATGATGGCAGTACTGCAGAAAATGTCAGAGAACCAAATTATCTGATGTGCTTTAAATATTCCAGTTCTTAATGTCATTAAAAACAATTTCAGTTCTTCTTTCTTGTCGTCTTTATTACAGGTGGACTTGATTGTGTTTGCCACAGGATATAACTACGATTTCCCCTACTTGCCAAAAAATGCCATATACAAGTCTGGGCACCGTATTGGACTGTACAAACATGTTTTTCCTCCAATCCTAGAGCAGCCTACCCTAGCTATTGTGGGTTTTATCCATTCTGACGGAGCCATCATGCCTCAAGCTGAAATGCAGGCCCGTTTTGTCACTCGTGTCTTCAAAGGTGAGGAATTTCCAATAAAAGAACATTTAAAAACTGAGGTGAAATAAAATCTTTTACAGTAAAATATCAAATACATTGCATTTTACTAATGATTGTCGCTGGTAACTGTGTTGTCTTTGTAGCGCTTGTTAAAAATAACACAGCATCCACTTATGATTGCGAGCTACCGCTCCAAACATTTTATTAACATCCTTATACCACACCACACACCAGTCTTCTTTTATGCGCTCTCCCTGGAGGCATTCATGACCTCCTCAATACAGGTTCTGAAACAACTTCACTTTTCTCCACAGTCTCATGTCCATCTAGTAGTTTCAAATCAGACACCGTCTCTGCATGTGACACATCAGCATTTTCATCTTCCTCACCACATTATTCCTCCTGAAATGTCTCTTTAGTCTTCAGTAAGTTGCGACGGTTCCTACTGAGCACATGACCTTCTTCAGTTCCTACGTCATATGATCTCGGACCTGCTTCCTGAAGAACAATGGCTTTCCTGTTCCATGCATTCTGATCTTGGATTCTCACTACATCATCCTTTGCAAGCAATCCAAGTGCTCTTGTTCCCTTGTCGTATTGCTGTTTTTGTTTCCATTTCAGATGCTCTTGCTTTTTATAATTTCTTCACTCTGCTTGCTCTCTGCATAGCAGGGCAAAGTTGTGTGTAGCTTACGACTCATCAGCAGTTCTGCAGGGGATAAACCACAGTCAAGAGGAGCAGCCCTGTAGCTCAGCAGGGCTACATAAGGATCTGATTGACTGTCTGTAGCCTTCTTCAGAAGCTGCTTGATGATATGCACTCCTTTTTCAGCCTTGCCATTTGCCTGTGGATGTTGAGGACTCGATGTGACATGTTTAAAGCCATATTCTCTTGGGAAATTCTGCCATTCTTTGCAATTATAGCAAGGACCATTGTCACTAACGACAGTTTCTGGTGTTCCATGCCTGGCAAAGATGGACTTCACATGTGTGATCACATTATTAGCAGTTGTACTTGTAAGTAGAGCAATCTCAGGAAAGTTAGAGTAATAATCTATAACCAACAGATAGTCTTTCCCATTAAAATGAAATAAATCTGTTCCTACTTTCCTCAAAGGTGCTGTAGGAAGTTCAGGAATCATCATGGGTTCTCTTGCCTGTCTGCTCTGAAACAGGTTTCACACTTTCCGATCATGTTCTCAATGTCTTTATTAATACCAGGCCAGTACACAGTATCTCTAGCCCTCCTTTTACACTTTTCTATTCCCAGGTGTCCCACATTCACCTGTCTCAGACTATGTGGTATCACGATCCTATTGCCTCTCAACAGCAGTGTATTTACCACGCTAAGCTCTGATCTAACATGATAATACTTTGAACAGGACCCTTTGGGCCAGTCTCCTTGGATATTTTCCATCACTGTTTGCAGCTCCCTGTCTGCAGCTGTCTCCTCACATACTTGTTTTATCTTTGCATCAGACACTGGCAGAGACTCCACTGTCATATTACCATGATCATCTACTTCTTTCTCAGTGGAGCTTGCGTGACACACCTGTGATGCTTGTAACAGTGCATCTGCTAAAGCTAAATACTTGCCTGGTGTGTATATCAAGTCAAAACTATACCTCTGCAGTTTCATCATGAGACGCTGAATCCTCGGCGACATCTCATTCAGATTTTTCTTAATGATTGACACAAGAGGATGATGATCTGTCTCAACTGTAAAGGTAGGAAGACCATAAACATAACAGTGAAAAATATCAAGTCCATATACCAGCCCAAGACATTCTTTCTCAATCTGAGCATATTTGGTTTCAGCCTTAGTCATGGATCTAGAAGCATAAGCAGTTGGTTTCCAGCTCTCCTCTTCAGCTTTAAGTAAAACAGCTCCAAGCTCATCCTTTGAGGCATCTGTTGAGATTTTCAGACTCTTAGGTGGATCATAATATGCAAGCACTGGGCGCGTTGTCAGTGTGGTCTTTAAATCATTCCATTCTTGTTCATGCCTCGCTGTCCATTTAAATTCCGTGGAATCACGAAGTGCGTGCTGATGTTCTCACTGACAAGTTAGGTATGAATTTTCCAACAAAGTTGATCATTCCCATCACTCTGAGCACACCTCTCTTATCTGTTGGGTGTGGTATGGTTGCAATGGCTTTTATTTTTCTTTCATCTGGCTCAAGACCTCCAGCAGAGAATTTGTCTCCCAAAAATGTTATTTCCTTTACACCAAAATGACAATGCTTCCGGTGGCTTCAAACTTTCCATCTCACACAGAACTTTGAACTGCTATCGCTTCCACACTTTCACTTTTACTCCTGGTACCATGTGTTGTCTTCGCAGGGCTTGTTAAAAATAACACAGCATCCACTTATGCTCCAAAACATTTTATTAACATCTTTATGCCATGCCACAGACTAGTCTTCTTTTATGCGCTCCCCCTGGAGGCATTCATGAGCTTTCTTAAATACAGTGCCCCCTGCTGGTAAACCTTATCATTACATTAATATCTACATATCAACACAGTCACTATCTTTACTCTTGCTTTCTCTCTTTTGCTTTTCAGGACATAAGAAACTGCCCTCAAACCAGGCCATGATCAAAGCTGTTGAGAATGACACCAAGAAGATTGCAAAAAAGTATTTAAAAACTAATTTTCCCCTCTTTAATTTTGTAATAATAAGAATATTTTTTGCAAATCATTTACCAAAAAAGTGAATAAATCATTTAAACCTTTCAACCCTTCCTTGTTTAAAACTAGGTGTGTGGGTCTAATATTCTATTGGTTAACTTATTTGTTTTTTTGACTTATCCTCTTTACAGCTACGTTGTGTCAAAGTTAACACCTCTGCAGGTGGACTTTGTTGAGCACATGGACGACTTAGCAAAGGACATTGGAGTGCAACCAAATCTCCTCTGGCTCTTCCTCACAGACTTCCCTCTATTTAAGAAAGTTCTGTGGGGGCCTGTTACAGCCTACCAGTACCGGTTGATGGGACCAGGAAAATGGGAGGGGGCCCGAAGGGCAATCTTCACTCAGTATGACCGCATGTACCAACCTCTAAAAACTAGACAGGTCTGAAAAAAGCGTTTATTTTGCATACTCTGAGTTTTGCTGTATGCACCGGTCAGCCAATCAAAGATGCATTCTTATAATCTTTTCATATGTCTCCTCTAGCTGAATGCACAACAGAGTTCAACGACAGGTTTCCTGATCAAGCTTAGCTTGACATTCATGGCTGGAGGAGCTGCAATCTACTACATCCACCGCAACCCAACCACCATCTCCACCCTCATGTCCAAGCTGCGTCCACAATCAGTGTGATTGAATGAGAAACCCAGCACCAGTATCTCATCTTGCACCTCCTTTGATACTTAGGGTTTCAAAATAATTTGAGAAATAACAGTGAAGCTATTAAGAGACAATACCAGTCACTAATTCCCATAGTTAGTAACACCACACTAATAACAATGACAGAGGCTTGACTTGGATTTTGACATGTTGCATAAAATACCATCTTAAGAAGATCTGTTAATGTCATATACTGACTCATTTAAGTAGTGTAACCATTTCTAGGCTAACATATAATTAGGATACTATGATTACTTATTTCTTTGATATGCTAAGAGGTTATACACTGTAAGATATTACAGCAGATTATCATGTTTTCTGTCAGCAGTATATTACATTATTAAAGACTTTAAAAGCTGTACTGAATAATTTATAAATATTCAGTATGTGCTCCGAATTGTTTGTTTTATTTATTAATTTATACGTTCTGTTTTTGATGTCTCTTGGCCTGTTGTATGAGGTTTAACAATATCAGTCTCTGTGAATCTGTTCACTTAACTTCTTATCAAATACAAGGTCAAGGGGTCATCGACATACTTGGTGTATGTGAGACAATGAAATAAGATAATCCTCTGTCAGTGCGTCCCAGGGTGGCTGTGGCTACAATGTAGCTTGCCATCACCAGTGTGTGAATGTGTGTGTGAATGGGTGGATGACTGGATGTGTAAAGCGCTTTGGGGTCAATAGGGACTAGCAAGGCGCTATACAAATATTGCGATGGGCGATCGTGGCTCAAGAGTTGGGAGTTCGCCTTGTAATTGGGAGGTTGCCGGTTCTAGCCCCGGCTTGGACAGTCGCTGTGTCCTTGGGCA